GCATAAAAAGATGTTCCATTTATTCAAATTTCATGGAAGGACCACACAGATATTATATCTAGAGAATACTACTGAAATCTCCCCCTTGTTCGTTGTCCAAGAATCGCACTGTAATTATGATGATGTTTTGGACACTCTTGGATTGATGCCACACACGCGATCGATTCTTTCTAATTTATTTCTTTGGAAACAAATTTTTTCATTAGATCCGCTTTTTGCGTGCACTAATATTATTAGTAGAGAATTATAATTAATGAAAGATTGCATGCTAAAATTTATTTAAATGTTACAAAAATTTTCAATCGAAGCAAGATGATTGATTATTATCTTACTATTGTAGGAAGGAAAAAAACTTTTAAGCATTTCAAAATAAAAGTATATTGATGTTTCGATGAAGAGTTAATTTGTTATTTTTTTCTTTTTTTAATTAGATTTTTCGAAATATAAATTTTTTACGTTTTATTCTTTATAATACATTGTGTTATTATTATCATATCATATTTTTTTTATTAAATCTTTTTGCTATTTAATTGGTAATAAAATCAATAAATCTTTCTTTGATTTTTTTTAAAGCTAGAAATTATTTCTAATATTTTTTATTTAAAAAAAAAGTAATTTTAACAGTTTTTATTTAAGTAAACATATATTATTTAAAATATCTTTAAAAAATTGTATCCAATTAATTTCCAGACAATCTAACATTTCTGCAAATAAAAGTAATAAGTAAGTAATGTATTAAAAATATTAACTTATTCCCAGAAATAATCGTGAAATTTTTTTTCTCTTCGAATCATTATTAATGAACATATAATTGGAAATTAAATAGATAATATGATCAGCCAAACGTAGAACTGGAACTCAATTAACTGTCGCAGACGTCTGTCCAACTATCTAAGACGAGGAAGATGAACAAAGAAAAACAGATGAAGAGTAAAAAGCAAATCGAAGAGCAAGGAAATTTTAGCGCAGGGAAGCCAGTGAGTGTTGGTCGGTCGGTCAGCCCAAGCAGGTATAAAAGCGTTGCATCGCCTTAGCCATGGTATATTTCTGCATTATATAAGCAATATAGTCCTTAGTTTATGCCTGGGACGCCGCAGTTAAACGTTGCGAGGACTTTTATAGGCCTATACGCGAATTCTCCCATACTTATGCCGGTTACGACGCGTGTTTCCACTCGAGCAGAGATACAGGCATTTACACATGCGCGCCCTCTAGCGTCGTGGTTCCTTGTCAAGACCGATGGGAAACACGTTTGAAGAAGATGGATGATTGTTCCATGTCGCATAACGAAGTGTTAACCTTTAACCGGTAGCGTGGATTTTTTATTAATTAAAATCTCGTTATCTCGATAAAGGAAACCTGGTGTATCTAATCGAAGATGTTGAATACGCATTTTACATTATGGTATATAGGAAATTAATTACAAGATGAAGTGAAGTAGAGAGTTTCTTAGGTTAATATTAAGGATTGAATTATATAGCTGTAAAATAGTTCTCCTTTATGAATTAATTTATATTGCTGGAAATGTTTTATTAATTTTTGAAATTATTTTAGTCAAAAAGAGGAATAGCGATTAAAGAATAATTACATAGGTACATGTAATACATTGTCTTTAATTATTTATATCTTTATATGACATTTAAATATCAAGTATACTATTCGATTTGTTTCTTGTTCACATATGAGAAGAGAGAAAACATAAAAAAAGAGTAAAAGGCTCGAGACAACGATAAATCATAAAATGATTGATCAAGCAACAATGTTATCCCTTAAAAGGAATAGAATATATTTTCTTACTCTGATGTTAAGCGATTCTTCAATGAAAAGCGTTTGCTAATTCTATATTACATTCGCTTATATTTTTTTAATAATTATTTTAATTATATGTATTTTATTTTTGTTCTTTAGTTTATATTCTAATTATTGGTAAAAATATTTTTAATATACCTGATCGACAATTGGCCTGTCCTGGGTGAGTTACTTATTTCGAGATGTATATGTTCATGTCAGAGTGAGAAAGCATTATATATATCCTATCCTTGTATTAAACCATGTCACTGCTCATTCGACCGCAAAGATTTATGGCTTCTCGCTTTCACGGACCTCTCACTCGTTCTCGGATCTCTCACTTTCTGCGGGCGACTTCAAAGAAGTGGGGATAGCGATGTGCTTATTTCGAGTCAGATCTTATTCGATCCTATCAAATATTAACGGTTCCTTCATCGATAATAACTGTTCAATGTAAGAAGTTCTTTTGGTCCTTTCACCAGAAGATAACCGAAAAATATTTTTTATATGGAATAATTTTATATTTTTATATGGAATAAAAGGCTAAGATAATAATTTATAAAAATTTTTTCAATGTAGAACTTCTTTTATTTTTACAGTAGAATGTTATATAATGTTATATAACAAAATTTATTAGAATCGTAATTGGAAACTTATGATATTTGTAAAATTATGTTACTAATAATGTTACTAATGTTGAATGTTGAGAATAGCGAGAATAGTGATACAATCTTGACTATTATATAATAGATAACACATATCAGCAATGGTGTTATATTTACAAAAAGAAAGTAAGATATGAGATAAACAATTTTATTTTCATGATTTATTATGTATGTATAAGTATTTATTTTATCTATTCTGTTTATTGAAGATTAAATTAATTTGTTACGTGTGATATAAATTCAATCGAAACCGTTTAATTTTTATTTAAATTTTATTTATTTTTTATTTCGTTAATGTTATTAATGTAAATTAATATTAAATGATTCATCTACTATATAATTCAAAATTTTAATCTAGCATTTTATAATTTTTTAATACAATATATCTTTTAAATTGATGATTATAATCAACATGACAAAAAAATAAAATGAAGATATTAAATGATATTCAAATGATAGAGTTAAATCATTTTTTTATATAAAAACAATTAATTGTATATTATTATATTTAAAAAAGATAAAAATATATAAAATAATCATTTTCAATTCATCTGAAAACCGACGTACTTTAAAAAAATTGTTTGGTATATTTTAATTTCCGCTTTTTGTTGCTTCAGAATTTATAATTATCTTCTCTGATATTCGCTTCCAAAGAGCTATTAAAAGCGCAATACTTACAAAATGCATCAGAGACGAATATCGCTAATTCATTTTCTGACATTATTATATTAAAATAATTTCAGCATATATTTAACTTATAATATATGTAAGTACGTGAATCTATTTAAATATAAATTAATCTTAAAAGCGCAAATTAACTTTTAAAAGTAATAAATAATGTATAATATATTTTTAGCTTTATATATCTTTTTATTAAGAAATTAAATGATCTTTTATTTAAATTATGAATAATATCATTAATAGACAAATAAGTTAATAGATTTAATAACAGATATAAAAGATATATAGAAATTGAAGTTATCAATAAGTGTGAATGGTTCTTAATTGAGCCCGAAGGCGATCAAGATTCAAGCTACTTGACTCGGTTTAGCACTCTATCGATGAAATTTTTCGAGAGATGGCGCCCTTTCCGCTTCGATGAAGGGTAAATGTGAGAATATTACTTCAGCTCCACGAAGCAACTTAACATGCATTTTCGATATGAAGAAGCGCTTACATATATTATACATTATAGTATATGATCTCCATATATACTATATAATCTGGGACTAATATTACTCAAAATCACTGGATTTAAACAATATATAGAATGTTTCTCGATTAATTCGTGACTTGTTAGATAAAATCCTCAATTTTGAATAAGAAATAACGCCTATTTAGCAAAAATAACTATTATAAGATTAATTTGAATATTTCGCATCTTGATATCCTTGAAAAATCTCAGAAACGTTGTGATATACATGTTTTAATATTCAGAAATACCTGGAATATATGGTTCGAAACAGGTTAAATATAAATATATATATAAAAACTTTCATTTTTGTAAAAATATGTAAAAAAAATTGTAAAGAAATTAAAGAAATTGTTCATTTAATTAAAGAGATTTATATTATAAATAATTTATATTTTTATTTAGAAATGAAAAATGAAAAGAAATTATTTTATTTTATATTTGTTATTTTATATTAATATATTATTTTATATTTTTTTCTATTTTATTGTTAAAAAGATTTGTTGTTCCATTTAAAGAACTAGAAGAAAATTTTTCTAACGAAGAACACATTTTTAATAAATATATATAATAATAAAAAAGATAGTTTAACTTTTAATAAATAGTGAAGGAAAAAGATTTTAATAAATGAGTCGAAAAAATTATTTAAAGTTGTTTAGTTTATTTAAAGTTAAACTAAACTAAATAACTTTTATTTTGATTAAAGCACTATGCAAAAATAATGAATTATTTTATCATTTCTTTCGTTTTTGATTGTTAAAGATTTTCTATATTTTTTTTTTTATTTTTTGTAGAAATTTTCGACAGATATTTGACATTTTTATACTAAACAATTGCATTCTTCAGAAATTCCTAAACATTTCAAATGAATTAGTTAGATATGATTGTGATGTTATATAAATTGATCATGATTATTATTCTTATGTCAAAGATAATTGATTATCACTACGTTTTAATACAATTTTTTTTCTTCCATTCATTAATAATACTGTTATCTCATTCTATTTGGTGTCGATAATATCATATGTGACAGAATATAGCTCAATCTAAAAAATGTGTTAGATGATCCCTCTATATTATATCTATTCTATGATATAAAGCTTTTTTATTGTATTCTGTTTTATCATTGGAGCAATAAGTTCCTCAAAACTCCACCAGGAGAATTTAGTGCACTTTCATAAACGTTTAATTATATGTGCTTTAAAAATTATTTAATAATACATGTAATTATGTATTATTTAATATATATTTTGTGCCTTTGAAACAGGATATTCAAAATATTTTATTACATACTTTGATTTTAATTATTTAAATTGCTAGAATGAATTTTTGATGTGTACTATATTTACGTTAACCTCAAAATTTATTGATGTTCTATAATATTTTTGATTTTAATTGATAATAAGAAACACAGAGTGTATATTGTGAAAAGATTTAATATTTAGATATATTTCTGGTAAGTGCACTTGATAAATTATATTTTTTATACGGAATAATATAATTTACAATTATCATAACCTATATTTTTTGTGTATTTATTATTTGTTTTCACGATTTTATTAAGATTGTTAAGATTATAATAATATAATACGTATAGATACGAAATATTTTTATGATTTTTATGCTATACAGGCTGCTTGATTATGAATCCTGACATTGAGCAAAAAATTTTCAAATTTGAAACATTCATCAATGATGTATTGAAAGAGGATCTTGCTCAATTAGAGCAGAAACTTGATGTTAAAAATGCAGATGTTGCCGAATTTATTCAATTAAAATCTATGATAACTACCATTCAAAATAATAACCTTGATAAAAATGGATTTAAAACTCAAGTAGATATTGGGCAAAATTTTTTTATTGAAGCGCATATACCTGATGCTTCCACAATTCTATTGGATATTGGTTTAGGACATTATATGGAATTTTCATTAAATGATGCTCTGGCTGTTATCAATGTTAGAATTAAACTTCTAGAACAACAGATTGCACATTATCGTAAAGAAATAGCCAAGATAAATGCTCATATCAAACTAATTCTTCTAGGCATTAGAGAATTACAAGGATTTAAAGACTGAATATAAAGTATATTTTGTGTTATATAATTCTATAATTTTTTATGTGTACATATTTACATGTTATTATAACTTTTGTACATAATAGAGAATTAAATAAATATTAAATGATTTTGAATAAACATGTTTCCCTCCATTTTTTAGAATTCTTATTTCATTCTCAAAGTACGCTATTAAATTTCAACGAAATTATTTCGCGCGATGAATTCACGTGTTTAATCCAATGTAAATCGTTCACAATGTCCCATCAATTTCGTACCCCGAATACCGCGCTTTTGTTTCCTTGTTAAGAGTAATTGCATAAATTTACTAGGACCTTGTGACCCGCTTATATATGATAGAGGTCAATCGCAAGCGAATCAGTGCGTTTTTCGCTTCAGCGTTGATTTCCCATTTTCGCGACTCTCGCTAACGTGAAGCATTTATTTTAATGTCGGATTGGCAGAGCATACCATGCGTCGAAAGGCACAAAGAATTCCTCGAGAAGATTACTGCGATTTTGATCGATTGCGCCTTCGAAAGTGTATCCCGTGAAAATCCAGTGTTGAGATGGAGGGAACCAAATCATTTGCAAGATATTATAAATTTTAATTTACAGGAGCAGCCTCGTAATCAAGATGATCTTCTAGAGATCGTGGCTAAAGTTTTTAAATACAGCGTTAAAACAGGTCATCCTTACTTTATGAATCAGTTATTTTCTGGGTAAGATATCGATAAGCGCATGAATAAATGTAATTATATGGATAATTAAATGATTCAATGAAATACTTATAAAATTCATGATTTTTTTATACTCATGACTAATACAAAAGTATCAAATTTTATTTGTTTAAAATAGTAATAGATTAATATATAATTTTAGATCTAATTAGAATTTTTCAAGAATAATAGATGATTATATCTTATTTATATTTTATTATGAATTTACTATGATTTGGTTTTACTGTGATTTGAAATTTGAATTGATATATAATTGTTATAGATCTGAAATGTTTGTGAGTCAGATCTGAATAAATAAAATTTCTTTTAATTATTTATCTATTTAAACTTTAGTATATTTTAATTTATAAATATGTAATAAATGATTTTTGCATATTACATATATGTCAATGATGTTTTTTATTTTTAATATTTATAAGAAAATTCAAAATTAAGTCTAAACATATTATGATTTAATTTGTTCGTTGTATTATAATAAAAAATTTAAATTATTTTTTTTGTACATTTAATTATTAATTGAGAATGATTCAGATATTTTGAGAAAAAATTTTTTGTTATTAAGATTTTTTGTTATTAACATATGATATAAACATATTATTTGATCAAAATTTATTTAGATTGGATCCGTACGGTTTAGTTGGACAATGGCTTACCGATGTATTAAATAGTTCAGTATATACTTACGAAGTGGCACCGGTTTTAACATTAATGGAAAATACCGTTATTAAAAAACTGTTAAACATGTTTTACAAGGATGAAAATGGTTCTACGATAGGAGATGGTCTTTTCTGCCCAGGAGGTTCTTTTGCTAATGGTATCGCTATCAACTTGGCACGATATTGGTTTAGAAAAAAAATTCAAGATGTGAGTACTTATATTAATAAATAATTCTGATAATAATTGGAATCAAATAGTTAATATGATAACGAAATCATATTCTAAATGATTTAATGTTGCCTTGCGATAATAATTTATACTTTATTAACCATTGAAAGTATATCAGTGATCGCAAAATCGTTTGATAAATCAAATAAGAAAAACTGGTTTTTCAACATATGCAATCGTATATTTTATGTTACTAGTTCTTAAAAATTATAATTATGTTATCTTATATAGATTTTTTAATTTATTTTTATAAAATAATATTTATTAAATACAATTGCATTTATTTAAAATTTTTTTTTAATATATAATAAATAAATATTTTTATCTATTATTAATTGGATAAAAAATAATGTAAAATAAAATTTCTAAAATTAGATATTTATGAAAATTTCATGGTAATTAATATATTTAATTTAATATTTGTATTTTTTAATAATTTTAATCATATTTTATTTTTTAGGATAAAAATATATCATCTACAAACTTGGTGCTTTTTACATCCGAAGATGCGCATTATTCGATTTTGAAGTGGGGAAACGTTTGTGATATAGAAGTGGTTCTCATAAAAACTGATGAGTATGGCAGGATGGATATTAATGATTTGAAAATTAAGATATTAGAAGAACAAAAAAAAGGAAATTATACATTTTCTACTATCGCCACTGCAGGTTCGTTGAACTATAATTTAATATAAAAATGATGAATTAAAGGCATGAATTTTTAATAATTTTACTTGTTGCTAATAATTTTACTTATTTTTAGGTACAACAGTTCTAGGTGCATTCGATCCTTTGATCGAAATTGCAGATATTTGCGAAGAATTTAACATGTGGTTGCATGTAGATGCAGCTTGGGGAGGTGGTTTGATATTCAGTAGAAAACACAGTGTTCTTTTAAGAGGAATACAAAGAGCAGATTCTATCTTATTTAATGCACACAAATTATTGGCAGTTCCTCAACAATGTTCTTTACTTTTAACTAAACATAAAAGTATTTTTAAGGAGGCACATTCTAAACATGTTCCTTATCTCTTTCAAAAAGACAAATTTTATCCTACAGATTTAGATGTGGGAGATAAGTATTTACAATGTGGACGCAGACCAGATGTATTGAAACTTTGGTTTATGTGGCAGGCTAAGGTAATTTTATGAACAAACTATCTAATTTAATTTGTTTGTTTATGTGCAATTATTTGATTTATTTCTGGTAGATAATTTTTTCTGTTTAGAAATGCACTTTTCTTGAGAGTCATGCAAGGTTCCACATACTTTGAGTAAAAGATAAAATCTACTTGCATGATACATAGGTTCTTCCTTCCCTTATTAATCTTTAAGTGTTAACCACTTATGCAAATATGTGGAAAACTAGCCTTCATAGCACTTTTTCCCCTGATCTTCCTTTAATTGTACATCTTGTACTTTGTGGTTTAAGCAGGTACTGCGATGCACTCCGTAGAAGATAAGGGTCTGTATGCTATGTTTCAAGTGTTTACCAGTATACTTATGCATATATTAACTTCCCCTGTTAGGAATAAAGAATGTTCATACTGCATCTATTCAATACATTTTCAAGATCATGAAAGAATCTCCTGAAATTCTCAAGGGGGTCTGCCGATAGCAGTGCTTTTAGACCAGTAACTTTCAAAGTTTCCCTCATTCACACATTTACATATTTTATTATCCCTAGCATATTAAGGAGTTAAATAATAAGCTTTCAAATTTTAATCTTAATATTTGAAAGTGCTAAAAAAATAATATTATAATGAGAATTATAAGAATTTATTTTCTCAGATAATTCTATCAAATTTATATCAAATTTTAAGATTAAGTAGAATTAAAAAAAATATATTAATATATTACAGCATTACAATTTTAAATATTAGTTATTTTATAATTATTTCTGAACGAAATTTATTCTTCTAATTCTTATATCACTGAACACTCATGTCAATAGAGAAACTAATATACATTCCATTCTCTTTCATATTCATTTAAAAATTTGTAGATTACTTTCTTATATTTATTAATAGATTATTAAATCAATAATTGTTAGAAAAATAAATAAATTTATTTAAAAATATTTTATTTCGTTTATTATTTTGATGTATGTAGTTTTTTAAACATATCATTGATATTATGTGAATTGTGATTTAATATTTTATTAAATAAATTATGATAAATATTTCTATTTAATATAAAAATATCAATATTGATATATAAAAAATTGATGTATAAAAATTTTTTAACAAAATTTAACTCTTTTATTACATATACGTAAAAAAGGTTTCTTCTTTCGTCGAAATCTAAAAGTATTATTTAAAATGATATTAGTTTCTTAAATAAAATGAACAAAAATTTTTAATTTCTACTTTTTCATTTTATATATCATAATTTATTATCTTAAATATCATTTCTTTAAGAAATTAATTTATTTTTCTTAGGGTTAAATATTGTTCGTACAACTAAAATTAAATCTTTTTCAGGGCACTTCAGGATTTGAAAAACATATCGATCATTTAATGAAACTATCAGCTCTTTTTAAAGAAGAAGTGGAAAAAAGAGATGGATTTAAATTAGTAACAAACCCATGTTTTATAAATGTTTGCTTTTGGTTTATTCCATCGACTTTAAGGATTCAGAATTCAATTTACGATTATAAGAAAAGATTACACGAGGTGAGTTTAATAAATTATTTGTTTTAATTATAATATTTATCTATTTAAATATAATAATATCTTTATAAAAAATAAAATATAATATGGAAAATTATTTGTAATATCTTTAATTGGTTTTTTGTTGATGATTTATGTATGATGATTATGTATTGATGATTTATGTATAATTTATGATAATGAACCTTAAAATTTAAAAACTTCAGAATTTTTTATATGAATAATTATTTTTTTATACTGATAACAGATAAATTCGATAATAATAATATAAATTTTTTCTTCATTAACAATTAATAAACTACAATTTTAAAATATCTGATGTTGGAAATCATTTATATTAAAAAAAACATTCATTTTTTAAAATTATATTAAATATATAAAATAATAAATTATATTAAAGAGTACATAAAAATATATATTTAATAAAAATTGATTATTTCATTAGGTTGCACCAAAGTTAAAGGAAAAAATGACTAAGAGGGGTAGTTTAATGATCAATTATCAATCACTTCACGAAAAACCAAATTTCTTTCGTTTTGTTATTCAGAATTCAGGAGTGGATACACAAGATATTTTTTATGTTTTCGATGAACTGGAAAATCTCGGAGAATCTATGTGATAATTTACAATATACATAATAATATTGTTATTTGTTAAATTAATCTTTATTTTATTATAGTATAATTTGTAAAAAATATGACGATATGAAATTCTATTTCCATTCTGTACTTTTTATAGTACATATCATTATCATAACAAAGAATTTATGCATTGTAATCTTTAATTAAAATCTTTTTCTTGAATTTGAAAAAAATTTTTATTACGATACTAAGTTTTATTGAATT